CGCTTGGTAGTAGTAGGGTTTTCACTTGCTTGGTGTGTGTATGTGTCTGTGTTGGGCTTCTTTCGCGCCGTATGTATAAGGGATTTGGTCCTTATATATATAATTCATGTACAGCGTGGTGGGATGCTGTTGGCATGAATGATGCTATTTTAAATGAAAGTAGTATGATTATAAACATGTAAGTCGTGAATGTCTGCTACGCCTCATTGCAATACAAAGCCATTGAACAATAAGCAAATATCGTTGAGATTACTGCTCTCCGGCAAAACTAACGACTCTCATTCGCTTCACACTCCCACCTCTCCTCGCTTAACACACAATCGCCACCAACAGTAGCAGTGCAGCGTGGTTGGCACGGGCCCTGTTGCGAGGAATTAAATGCTCCCCCCCCCCATCCAATTCCACCCCCGCCCCCCAATTTCGTAGTCCGAGGCCGTTGCAGCTGCACCGCCTGTTCACTCGATAGCCTCACACTCTTCTTGGCGCGTGCCGACAGCCCGATGCCGAGAGGCACGCTGATAAACCCACGCAACGTGCGAGCCATCCCCCTTTCATCTTCTTGGTTCTTTCGGTAAAGTCACGTAGAAGGGAAATAATAAAATAATAAAAAATAAAACATTATATAATGATTCTCACGACGTTTCGGCCACAACGCAAGCGGCCGTCCTCAGGTGCAGAACAGGTCTGTCGGAAAGACAGCGTCTGAATTCAGTCGGAAAGACAGCGTCTGAATTCAGTCGGAAAGACAGCGTCTGAATTCAGTCGGAAAGACAGCGTCTGAATTCAGACGCTGTCTTTCCAACAGACCTGTTCTTCACCTGAGGACGGCTGCTTGCGTTGTGGCCGAAACGTCGTGAGAATAATTTTATTATGTTTTATTATTATTTTATTATTTCCCTTCTACGTGACTTTACCGAAAGAACCAAGAAGGCGAATCCCTGCAGTCACGAAAGCTTCAAATCGAAATCCACCCCCCTTTCTTGCATCTCCGGCCATTTCTGTGGCAACCAGGAGGAGGGCAGCGACAGGCGCCGTGATATTGCACAGGCAGCACTCGTCCACCCGGCACCGCTGTGTGTGTGGTGGGGGGACCGGCGGTGGTGGTGGTGGTGGGGGGGTAATGATTAATGCAGAGACCCCCGCTGGGATAAGCTGGCTTTTGTTCACACGCAGACGGCAGCCGTCTTTGACCCATCCAAACCCTCAACCGAAAACCCCAGCAAAGTCCAGGGCCACCCGCCCCCGCCTTCCCTCCCGCCCGCAACAACGCTCCCACACACACGCAGCAGCAGCAGTCACCACCACCGCGGTCTCTCGTCCCAATCTCCTGCAGTGACTAAGTAATCTGAAGGATCGCACGCGCTTCACTGCAGAGCCCCCCGCAAACTGCGGGGCGTCACGGCGTAGGCATGCAGCAGGGATGTGGTGCCGCACGTGAGTGATGGTGATGAGCAAGTGAATTTCCTCCCACCGTAATGTCCCGTGGCGGAGGAGCGATGTCTACCACGAGCCTTGCTTGCTCTTACGCCAACGATAAAATATCCTTCGTGTAAACCAATGCGTGGCTTGAAGACAATTAATCGAGTAATTTTGAGTCAGGAATGCAACGATAATGCTCGTTTGGGAATGCGGCCTTTGGCACGCTGCGCAATCAACCTGGAAGAATTTCAGCGGCCCGCTGTGTATTGTGTTTATATACAACACATTTGGGATTCGATTGTATTTAAGAGACAAAAAAAGTGCAAAAGAGCAAAGATTTAAAAAATGCAATGTAAAATTTAAATAGGTGTAGAGCCGTACAATTCAGCTGATGTTCTTACCGCATTCTAAAAAGAAGGAAATTGTGGCTGTAAAAGGCGGCCGTAACAAACGTTTACGCTCAAATACAAGTACGTGCACGGATGCCACCGAGCTCAGCTGATTACAGGTTATGATTGATCTTGCGCAAAAGACACGGCCCTCTGGGCCCAATGGCTCGAGTGCCGTGACGCGTTGTGGAACGTGTGCGAGGAACACATTGAGTTCACGAAACCAAAAAAAAAGAATGGAGAAAAAAATAAAAAAATACGAGCGAATGCACGGGTTTCCAGAATGACCCGGGCGAACGCGCTGTCCGTTACCCGCGCTGGAATGTGAGTGTCCCCTTGCAGGCTGCCCCGAGGACGGTGACATTTCAAACGCGGGCAGGAATCAGCTTGGCCAGACTCCCCCCACACCCTCCCCCCCCCCCACTTTGTGCGAGTCGAGTCGAGTCGATTTATTTTTTCTGTTAAAGCGTTGGCGCCTTGCTGCCACAAACCTGCCACCCAGAGGCGCCGTCACATCATTTACACGCGTAAACATAAACAATTATATTTAGATTTAAAGCTTTCGTGACTGCAGGGATTCATCTTCTTGGTTCTTTCGGTAAAGTCACGTAGAAGGGAAGTGATAAAATAATAAAAATAAAACATATTTGATTTTATTATGTTTTATTTTAATTATTTTATCACTTCCCTTCTACGTGACTTTACCGAAAGAACCAAGAAGATAAACAATTATATCCGGTCAAAAAATAAAGCAATGGCAAGTCTGTGGCTGCGAGTTCGTTTGTATGTATGTGCGTATGCGAGTGTACAGAGAGCTGTCTTGTTGAGTTGCGACTGTGAGATCCTCACACGATGCAGCCTGGTTAAAGCCAGAATGGATCGTAGGCAGTTCATCTTTAATTTTTCATTCCAGCGATGTAGGTGTTTCTATAAATGGGTCTACATTTCTGAAGCGCAGAGAATGAAAGGCATAAGTGTGGTCTAAGAAACCTGGGGCTACACGTGGAGTGATAGACCAGGCAGCTTCCACAAAGTGTTAAGTGGAAAATAAGGCAATGCTCAAATAATCACAAGCGTACAGAGCTGTCTTGTTAAGTTGCGACTGTGAACGCAGTGATGGAGTCGAGTGTGCGGATTGCCTCTGGGAGGGTGTTCCAGAGGTGTGGTGCTGCAAATGAGAAAGATCTGTCCAACCCCCATTGGTTGTGTGTTTGGTTTTGGGTGGTTGGTTGGGGGAGGAGTGCTTAACGTTGAGCAGCAGAAGTGATCTGTTGTGTTGCTTCACGTGTATGAGGTTTCTGATGCAAGGTGGAGAATGGTTGAGTATTGCTTCATATGTTAACAGTATGATTCTGAAGTGTATTTCTCTGGATTATACGGCACTCGGGAAAAGTACGGTGCACCACAAACTTGTGCCCGGTGTTAATAAAGTTTGACTAATCGAGTCACACGCGCACACACACACACGCCTACCAAATAATAAGACGTGTCCTCAACTCTTGCTTCAAAATGCAAGGGAAATAAGTGTGTCTTATACGCCAGAGAATATGGTTCTACTACTACCGCTGCTAGAGATCTCCGCCGAATGGCTTTTATCGATTTGTTTGCCAGGGGGAAGAAAAAAAAAGAGAGAGGAAGTGAGCAAGTGGGGAGTGCATTCAATCGAGAGATAGAATTAATAAGTTGCGAGCAACTATGTGGAGCTTTCCATTAGCAACACAACTCGTGTCCCGGGCAGCAAAAGCAGACGCGGCTTACGTATCGCATCAGGCGGCCGTGCGAGCCAGAGTAAATTAACGTGTCTTCGAGTTAATGAGCGAGTGTCCGAGTGAGTGATTGAAAGAGCGGGAAAGCCGTTCGTCCTCACGTTAATGTGGCAGTGAGTGAGTGAGTGAGAGTGATTGAGAGACTAAAAAAAAAAGCTGCAGGACTAAGAGACCGGATGACAAGTGATGGGGAGATCGGTGGCACAAAGGTGATGGGTACGACAAACCCCAAATTGCAAAGTACAAAAATTCTACTTCTCCGCAATCAACCCCCCAACTCCCACGTGACACGCAGGAGCCATTTTTTTTTACTCCGGGACACACACGTGTTTACAATTAAGCCCCGTTGCCAATGGCTACAAGATTGTGTCTTAACTCGGGCTCTGCACGCGGCTGAGAGCTAAGATTCCCGTTTGCATCGCAATGCCGAGCGCCTCGCTGTCAGACGCCGGTGGTCGGCGAGTGACGGCCAACTTCAGGCAGAGGTTCCCCTGGTCCCGAGACTGTGGTCCGCTCTCTCTCTCCGAGGTCACGCGCAACAAACTCGTTTTCGCCATCGCCCAAATACGGTGCACCTCTCGGGCCCGAATTAAGTAGTCAGCGTCACCCTCGTGAAGGTGGTTTGCGTTTTATTCGGCGAGTTTCTAGAAATTCATGCCTCGATTCAATCGTTATAGAACTCGGTTGGGCTTACGTTAGCTCTCCTTTAATTATACTATGTAACAATAATAATTAGACATTTTATAAAAAAAATACAAGTCTCACTCAATGTCAGACCTATTATTTAGGAGGTTCCTAGCTTGGGATGTGAACGATGATGTGGGAAAGAAACTGGAAGGAACCCACCACGGATGAGCGGATAAAACTCTAAAGACCGCACAGATGGGTTCGCAAACCCACTTGCCGTGCTGCCATCTGTTGGCCACTTCGAAGACCAGTGGCTTCGGCTGTACGACGGATGAGTGAGTGACCAACCAGCCCCTGTCTCCACGGCGCTAGATCGTGCATTGACTGTGCTGTGTGACCAAATGTTGCATGGACTGTAGGAGTTTAGCGATGCATTAAATCATCGATGGAGATCTCTTATTATGCTCAAGATGCTAGCATTGAATCGTCAGTGTAAGAAGTGATCATTTGCAATGTGTACCAATAACATGCAAAGTCAGTGCTCATGTTACATTTTGGCAAATGGAGGAATAATGACACAGTGAAAATAAACAGAAGTGATTCTTGAACAAGATTGTGAAAATTCAGCGAATTGCTGGAAGGCTGACTCATTGTACGACTCATTGTACGAGTCAGTCTAAATGTCCTCTATGTATATTCAAGTGTTTTACTGATATAAGAATCAGCAGTTTACCCGAGGAAAGCTGGGTCTTAGCAACAGCAGCTTTCGTACGCGAGACACGGGGTGGTATGGCCGTACCTTACGTGGCTTGAGCCTGTCCTGGTGGTCGTACTGAGCAATGCCTCTTGTGCTGAGGCCCAGCCACCAAGGGAGTCCCTGTTTGTCCTGATGATGGGGGGCAAACACACAGACACGTGAGCATTGGCTACGTACGGCGTGAAAGAAGTTCAACATACAGTGAGGGAAACAAGTATTTGATCCCCTGCTGATTTTGTACGTTTGCCCACTGACAAAAAAATTATCCGTCTATAATGTTAATGTTAGGTTTATTTGAACAGTGAGAGACAGAATAACAACAACAAAATCCAGAAAAACGCATGTCAAAATTTTTATAAATTGATTTGCATTTTAATGAGGGAAATAAGTATTTGACCCCCTCTCAATCAGAAAGATTTCTAGCTCCCAGGTGTCTTTTATACAGGTAACGAGCTGAGATTAGGAGCACACTATTTATACAGATAACGAGCTGAGATTAGGAGCACACTCTTAAAGGGAGTGCTCCTAATCTCAGCTCGTTACCTGTATAAAAGACACCTGGGAGCCAGAAATCTTTCTGATTGAGAGGGGGTCAAATACTTTTTTTCCCTCACTGTACATACAAAAAAAACACAATGTTCCCCCGTATAGCCTTCATAAACTGTTGGGGCAAGTGCTGTTAGCGAGCACCTACGAAGGCCAGAAGGGCACACGAGGGGGTGGGTGACCAGCAACCACGCGCAGCCACCTTTGTCTGCCTAGTGGCGATGCTTACACAACACACTAGTGGGCTATGTTTACGCACTGCACCAGGTACTCATTTGAGGCTGAGGCGACATAGGGGAGGCCCAGGACCAGTTCAGATAATCGTCACCGGTGTTGGCCTCGAGCGGGGATCGAACTCGGGTCGCCAGATTCGTAGCGCAGTGTGCTCACCGCTTCACTACCGCTCCCCATACCATATATACGTGCGAGCACACACACACACACACCGCACGCAGATGCACACAAACGAACACACACAGCCGCATGCTCACAAACATGCGCACCGCCGTCACAGAATGCAGTGTGCTGTGTCTGCAATGGGGTATTCATCATAATTGACAGCAGCAAATTGCAGTGTTTTATAATTCAAAGAAGCACGCGGCACAATTTGCTCTTTGACGAGGCAGGCACCGGGCAATATCAGGACGGGATACGGGACCCGTGAGGAAAGGATGGAACTGTTTTCCGAGAAACTAAAAAAAATCGTCAACATGTTCCCCCTTGCAGCTTCAGAGAGCAAAGGTCACAAAATGTGAGAACCTATTAAAGTCAATTAAACGCCATCTGCCGGTTGTAACGGACGGGTCTAGTTTTTGATTTAAAGCTTTCGTGACTGCAGGGATTCATCTTCTTGGTTCTTTCGGTAAGGGAAATAATAAAATAATAAAAATAAAAAATTATTAAATAATTCTCACGACGTTTCGGCCACAACGCAAGCAGCCGTCCTCAGGTGAAGAACAGGTCTGTCGGAAAGACAGCGTCAGTCTTTCCGACAGACCTGTTCTTCACGTTATCATTTCCCTTCTACGTGACTTTACCGAAAGAACCAAGAAGAAGGGTCTAGTTTTGCCACCTGAGCGACGAACTCACCTTCACCGAGTAGTAGTGAACTCCGTACGTGGGCAGCAACTCGACAACGCTCATGTAACTGGGAGGGTGAGAAAGAAAGAGAGAAAGAGAGAAACAATCAGCAGAAAGAGGAGCCTCTTCGTCGTGAGAAAATGCCGCGGGGCAGAGCGAGCGGCCGCTGCAGAACACCGCTCGAATCTGTGGGCTCTATTACAGGGGTGAATGCACTTTGTCGGGGCGAGGGGGGGGGAAGCTATTTTTAAATCCCCTCCTGGCAATCCATACCCGCCGGTGCCTCTATCCTGGTCACGACTTGCCATACGACCCCTTTGTCCGCACCAGGTTCGTAGAGGCGGCTCGCATTTGCGACGCCTTGAGCGTGCAGTGGAACTTAGCAAAACAAAATCATCCAAAATTGTGCCCGACCATTTAGCTGGTATGTATGTTAAAATTGCAAAGCAGTTTGGGGCTAATGGACAGAGACTGGGGAGGGATGGAGGGGGGGACATTGATGTAGGATCAAATGCTTGTGATTTAGGGAGTTTCAACTAACACAGGACTGCAGAGTGGATTGCTATGCACTTTGTGCAACATTACGAATAGAAATATTAGTCCAGTCACAGATGCGGCAGCAGCAGCAACATTGGCATCAGAACCGGTGGCGTGGGTGTCTGGAAACCACCAAACTCTTTAGATACGAGACTCCGATATCATGGAGTCTGTGCTTTTTCACTTCAACAAGCTGACAAAAATGCTGATTGCACCGATTGGACAACCTGCAGAAAATGCACAGTGGCACACAAAGTATTGGGCTCAGGAGTGGGTCAGTAGTTAGGAGGAGCGTACATTTAAATACAATATTACTTAGGCTTGTTCAAACGCATGTTAAATAGGGGTTGTCAGTCGTACGCATAGTGTGGCAACGATAAGATATTAATAGCATTTAGCAATTAATGGGTCCCTGTGCATTTCTAATGTAGCCAATCACCAACAGGAACCATTCACTAGCCGGATACTTCGACTTCCAAAGGGTAGCTGCACCTCTCGTCAAACCCCCCACCCCCCCCCCCACCATGTGGAGCTGCCTGATTTTTAACACAGCACAGATGGTCAAAGAGTTGGGTGCCAGCATAGCTGACCTGGGTTAAGTTTGGGCGATTCCAAACGGAGAGAGGGGGGCGTGTGGAGAGTGTGGGGTGGAAGTGTCAGTGGCGTGAAATTGGTTGCTGGGCTGGCGGGTAGCCTGGACATTTAAAGAAAAAAAAACGGAGCTTCGGTGCGATGATTTCAGCTTACTTGACGATAGCGTGACCCCGAGTTTGACTCTTGAGCTTCTGGTAATTTTTTACGACCTCATCCTCGCTGTGAAAGGGAAGGCACAACAAAGTCAGGGCCAGTGAACTCTCCCTGCGACGACGTCGACGACGACGGAAGCAGAGACAACCTCGTAAAAATTCACACTTCTATATAGTTTTTTTATTGGTGGCGACATCTGCGCACGTCATTCCTCACGAGCCAGCGCTGCGTATTTTCCGCAGATAAGCAGGAATCCGCGTGAAAGTAAATCGATGAACGCAATTTCCCCGTCTGTCCGTTTGACCCGGGCAACGTTTTATTTGGAGCTAATTCTGCTGCGAAAGTGATTGCGCCATGCCTGGCTGTAATCAACAGTAGGCAATGGTTCACAATTACTACAAACATTTAATGTTGGCTTTAAGTGAGAATGCGGTTGAGTGATTATTATTGTAATGTATCCCCTTTGCTTTGCGCTTAACACCCGGATGCCAACATGATCCACTTGCACACATAGATGTAATTACATATAGAATAATTAACTGCTTCCAATATGCTAAATAAATTCAAATGAATTCGATACATTCTGCTTAATTGTAATTTGCTTTGCAGCATTAAACGTTTCGTTTGTTTAACGTCTTCATATGCAACTGCATGGCGAGTGAAGATAATTGCACCATTAAAATGGAAATAAATTAACACACATATAATAATGTAACATTCCAAAAAACATTTAGCTTTTAAAAAAGCTATAAACCACGAGGTAATGTAAAAATACATATAAAGTGGTTTTCCAGTCAGTTGAAGTCAGCATTAATTTCCCATTTACAGCCCTGGGCCAGAGGTGAAATTCCACATTCCTCTGGCAGGGCGAGTCTTTCCATAGAAACATAAAACCTTCTGGTTGCGAGCCACACTGCCACTGTACCACCCTGCCGGATTATATAAACTCATCCTCATTGCAATTACAACTCTTGCTCAATCCACTGCTGTTATTGTATTGTCTTTTTGTTTTACCATACTTCACCACACTGGTCAGTTGCGGTGAATTAAGGCACCCGGGACCAGTTCAGACAGCACACACCACCGGTGTTAGCCATGGCTGGGAATTGAACTCAGAATTTCGGATTCATAGCGCAGTGCGGTAACCAACTGCACCACTGCCCCCCCCGCCCCCATTATTAATTGTACGCTTACATCCTGTTGGTCAAGACACTGTTGTAGGCGGGCCACCTACAACGCCGAATGCCGCGAGGGTCATTTGACCATACTTTATCGCGATGGCATTAAAAGAGAAACAACCATAAACATTAGCGCTCGTGGTTTGTTTTAATAAACACCCACCCTCGGTGCCCTTTCGGTATGATCGTAGGTTGGTTGGCGCTCCCATGGCGCACAGACCAATGGAAACATTTACCCCGACAGGCCTGGCCACAAATCCCACCCGCGCGCAGGAATTCCAGCTCACCCCAACCGCATAACGAAGTCAAAGCGTGTACAGACAGCATCTCTCGCGCAAGAGGGTACTTATCTGAAAAATCAGACCGCAAATAACCCCCGCCTTCGTTTATTTCTCCATTTGTTTCACGGCAAAGCCGCGTTGGTTACTTTCAGCCTTTTATACTCAGTGACAGTCACCGACGCCGCAAATTGTTTTGCGAACGCACACGAGACCACGATTAGCCCCACGTGTATACCAAACACGCACACGGGCTTGCTAACTTGAACACATGTAACAACTTTAATACATATGTGGCTCCCTCGGCACATGGACCAATGGTAACATTTACTGTCAAAACCGGCCACTGCTTCAAAGTGTGGTCCAAATGCCCTCTCAGTGGGCGGCCTTTCTAGAGCTCCCTCTAATAGAGGCCCCTTCCACCAGCAGGTGCGCGAGAGGCAACTGCAGGTCTGCATCTTTGCCCTTTTGTAAACGCAATTGTGTCTATGCGTTTATTTTTTTTGTTTCACCCAAGGATGAAAACTGCGCCTTGATTTTTTTTGTCTTTTTTTTTAGATTTCACTTTCAGCGAAACCGAAACGGCGGCACGTTCACGCTAATGCCGCTCGCCACGAGGTGAACCTGCCGAGCGGGCGACTTTTATTTTCGAAAACAAACGCCGGCGTTTCCAAGGGGACGCTCCTTCCCCACATCTGCCGCGTAGACGGCCGATTTTGTGCCGTGGAACTGGGCGAACGGAGAGGGCACGGTGAAGTGCGTTCTGCCTCTCAGGAGGAGGAGGGCGGAGGGGAGCGCATTCCCACGCCCACACACGGCCTCCGTGTTCTTGCGCACTGAAGCCTCTCTCACGTCCGCTGAGTCGTGGTTGGGGGTGAGGGGGGAGTGCGCGGGGGGGGGGGTAAAAGTATAAAAACTGAAAGAGCCCGATAATGGCAAAGAAGAGCCATTGTGTCAGCGTTTTATACGGCCTTTGTCGCACCGTTAATTGCCGAATACATTTCGGCTGCGTTTGTTCGCCTGCGACAGCCTCGCCTCGCGCCGCTGCAACCGGCGAGGCTGTAGGAGGGCAGGGGAAGAAGCTGTGGGAGATAATGACGACGACGTTGGCGGTGGTGGTGGTGGTATCACCAGGAGATGAAAAACATGGTTAGTGGAACAGTAGGGGGGGTGGGGGAGAGTGCGGGGAGGTGCAGGGGGATAGGGGGGGCTTAGTGCCTTCACGACTCTCGTACAATACCACAAGAGCGGGAATTGTCGCGGCAGTTTGCAACAACAACAACACCAACAACACCAACACCAACAACAACAACACCAATACCACCAACAACAACACCAACAACAACACCAACAACAACACCAACAACAACAACAAATGAAAGCACGAGGGCCAGATGGGAAGAATGTCTTTTTGGTGAGATGGTGACATTCGCAGAGCCTCGGTGAGCGCGTGCACCACCGAGGGGGCCTGTGTGCTAGCACGGTCGGCTACGTACGGTGCGAAAGAAGTTCGACACGCGCACGCACACAAGTGACGACCGAGCAAAACGTCTCTCGCTGAGCTGCTGCAATGGGCAACTCACCAGAAGGTGATGGAGGGATGCTCCTTGAGTGTTCGCGTTGGGAGGGCCGACAGCCTTTTCAGCTCATCCTTGGTGACATCATCACTGTGGGAGAGAGGGGGGAGCGTGAGAATGAGTATATCATTATTTTAATAACCGTTACGATATATACATGCTAAATCTACTTATGGAGACATGTCATAAGGCCAAGAAGGATACCACAAAACCACTTATTTAGCCACTTCAAAAGGCTTGACTTGTTACCCAACACATTCATCCTTCGCTCCCGGTGAATAGTGCTTTGCCACACGTCAGCGTGAACTGATGTATTAAAAAAATATAAAATTTGGGTAGCAGAGCAGAACCAGCTGGAATTGTGGGGGAATTGTGGGGGAAACGCCCCCCACCCCCCCCCACTCCGGTACCATACATCACAGCACTTGATGTCAATGCACGCCCATGTAATGCATTCGCCGTGTTAAATAATCCACGTGTTTCAACACACGTGCACACACACACACACACTTTCAGAAGCGCACATGCTCACTTATTACGTCCACATGTCTTTACGCACAAGATGACCGGGCCCTCGTCCTAATCACTCCCATGCAGTTTTCTTCCTCTTGTTTGGCCGTATAAATGAGCTAATGAGTTCGTAATTAGTTTTATACATTTGGTATTCACGTCATTGTCAAAGCACGACGGCTATGACGAAGGTGCTATCCTTCACGGTATAGTCTGCCAATCGGGGTGATGATGTTATGCAGTTTTACCAAACCAAGAATATTTGCGGTGACTTTTTAAATTTGCACCATCATGCGGGCACACACAGCCTACCCTCGTTCACGAAACCAAACTCCGACTCAAACTAACAGTGGTGACGCAGGGTCAAGCGCACGTTTAGCGCCCGACAACATCAACCAATGCGCAGTGTTCATTCTTGTGCCGCTTCCACCTCCAGGCATGAGCTCACGATGGGTCCGCCACGGTGAGAAACAACTTTTCGTGGCGAGACCTCGGAGAGCAGCACTTTGGGGGGGGGGGGGGGGGGGGGTGTGGCAGTCACTTCCCCTCGAACCTCCGGAATGCCAACCTCACCAAATCTACTTAAAGCAAACGTGCGAGTGGGCGGGCAGATGGGTGGTAGCAGTGGGTCCTGGTGTTTTTGCAGAAAGCCGACTGCGTTGTCCGACACGGTCGCAACGGCTCTAAATTGATGCTCACTGTGGCCCCCCGCTAACCCCCCCCCTCTGCCACACGGCCGTCACGCGTGTCCAATTTCTCCAAAATTTCATCGAGCGAAGGCAGCCCCTGCCCAGGGGATTGGACAGCGAGAAACCCTCCTTCGCTCTTTGAACCACGCAGCTGCTGAAACAAAAACTAAAAAATTGCTGTTGCCAATTGCACACGACAGTTTTCGAGTTTGAGTGATAAAACAATCATTGCAATTCACAACCCTCCTTTTGTCAATCGACTGTTTGGGTTGTAAGCCTCCCCACACTGTCGGTTTGACCTTGCTTCACTGATCTGCGCAGTGTGGGTTGGTGAAGGGGCAGGGTCCCTTGCGTTGGGTCCAGATATCGTTGGAAACTAACGTTCAGCCGAGACTGGGAATGAAATCCAAGTCGTGGGGTTTAAAGTGCAGGACACAACCACTATTCTATCCTGGCACCCCGGATTGTATTGAACAATGTTCACGTATTAAGCACAGCAGAAAACTAGCACGTAAAATGAGGATTTTCACTTCACTCGAATTACTTAAAAACCTGAGAATGCAATAAATAAAACGTTCCGTTTGACTGGCACGCGACAAACACCTCTACGGCAGGGCGTGTGGGAAGGTACAATGTCCCTCTTGTGGACAGGAGGTCCCTTTATAGGTTCTCAGAAGCAGTTCTGTGATGACTCCGTCGCATGGACTGTTCTCGCGAGCACGGGGTCACGGACTGCACGGTGAGGGCCCCAAATGGCCAAGTTCTTTGTCTCGCGATTTGAAACCGACAACAGAATCGCAATGGAATTGGAAAAAGACCAAAAACAAATGGGTCAAGGCATTCAATGTGTCCCCATATTTACTATAAACATAAATGTGCCGCGTACAATGTACGATATGCATGTGCCGTGCACAAAAGGCTTTTCTATAAAATTCTCGAACGCTAATTCAAATTAGGTATAGTAATACTTCACTGCAATTCATGCCATTCATTGTTTTTATAAAAAATCATGAAATGTATACTAATCCCATAATGACTGCACCTTGATTGCGATAACTGATTTTGCTTTGTTGACAGACATTGGCACAATAATGCAGTGTGTGTGTGTGTGGATTGGCTCCGGTGTTGTTTAATAACTCTCTTGGCCATTTAAGAGTGCTATTTGCATCTGTGCCAAGTGAATGTTTCTTTTAAGCCAAGCAAAGCGATAGTTCAAAATTTAACCACGGCACACAAACAAAGACCCCCCGTATAGCCGAAACAGACTTTTGAGGCAAGTGCTGTTAGCGAGCACCTATCAAAGCTGGAACGGTACACGATGGGGTGGATGGTCAGCACCACGCCCGGCCGCCTTTGTATCCCCAGTGGCGACGGTTACAAATTGCACCACGTACTCATTTGAGCTTGAGTCGACCGAGGGGAGGCCCGGGACCGGTTTAGATAATCGTCACTGGTGTTGGCCGTGAGCGGGAATCGTACTCGGGTCGCCAGGCTCGTAGCGCAGCGCGCTAACCGCTACACTACCGCTCCCCACACACAGACACACACATGCACAAGCGCCATTCTTTAACGCTTCGCAACACCACATTGCACGATGCTCTGATCATCAGCGCAGTGTTGTGTGTTGAGGGAGCCAGATGACATAGTGGACGACAGGATGGTGAGACAGACATTACAATGCCACTCTCTCACCTCGAAATCCAAAGTTCCCTGGCTCTAAATCATGTTCCTGCTGCTGCTGCGCAGGGAGACAATGTCATGGGCAGCTACGGTGGTGGGATGTTAACTACCTCGTCTGGTATACAAGAGGTCATGGGTTCGATCCCGACCCTGACGCATGTATATTTCGAGTTTGCATGTTTTCGCCGTGGTCGCGTGGATTTTTCTACGGGTCCTCTGATTTTTTCCTCTACATTTAGAAACGACGCGCGTTTAAGAGTATTTGGGTGCTATACATTTCACGTGACGAGCCACTTCGTCGAGTTATTGTTTGTGGCCAGGTCGCTTATGAGCTAAACAGCTCAGTGGGGCCTTACCTGGTAAAGTAAAAATTGTTGGTTTGCCATCCTCTGTTTTGGGATCTTGCTATGACAAGCGGCCCACGATGTGCACTGGGTCTTTAAGATGCAATTCGCCAGTAGATGGCACGATTTGCTGATGCCCCACTGAAGAGCTGTCAGACGTTTACAGTGAGGGGTGGAGCAGTGATTTGTGCTCCGTGCTGTGAAGCCAGTGTCATTTCCAGCCACGGCTAAACGTCAGTGACATGTGAACCGGTCCTAGGCCCCCCTCCCCCCCCCCAAAATCCCTCACACATTCACCAGCCACGCTGACCAGCACGGTAAAGGAATGATCAAACAACCACTGGGGGGGGGGGGCTTCATCCAGCAGTGGATGGACAAACGGTTGTAATGGGTTTGGGAATCAACTTGACAACATTTTTGTAAAAATAGCTTTTTCTGAGCACTAAGCTACCCAGCCACCACGCTAATTTCATGGGCATTCAAAATAACGCACTCCCCAACCACCACCCACCCGGAATTACAATCAACTTGCGCTTTTCGCATCATATAACGAGCTCAGCACATTTGCATCATCCCGTGGAAAGTCTCTGTCAATCAACACCGCAGTAAGCTCCCAGAACGCGGAGTGAGACGTCCGACGGCCTTGCCAAACGACACGCGGTACCAACTCGATGGATACATCAGAAAACGACGGGGGGGAGGCACGCATTTTGTTTCATACGTCCGGTAGAGAGTGTTCGTCGCGCGTCTATCAGACCAGTTTTTATTCCTCAGAGCTGGAATGCGCCGATTGAAACTTCCCACACTCAAGAAGCCAGTTCGCCCGTAGGTGGCTGCACTACTTTCCAAGCTCAGGACGTGAGCGGTCCCGGCTCAAGAGCTGTGACATGGTATTATTAGCCGGCCCTTGAGATACGCAGCCACCCCGCAATATAGGTTTCACGGCGTTAGCAGCCGGCGGTTAACGTGCGGGGAAGATGGGGTGGCCCTCTTTGGCGGGTGTGTGTGTGTGACCGAGCCGGCGATGGTGGGAACTGGGTTCGAAGGCCACGCTCGCTGCCTTTAAACAAGCAGGAGTGGCCCTGTGCAAACCAGTTGAAAGCAGATAAAGTGGAGCCTCGGAAAATAAAGGTGCAGGGGGGGGGGCTAATTAAACAAACAAAAATTAGGGGCCTGCATTAGCAGGACTTGGCTTGTGATGACAATGTTAACAAGGGGGTATTTTAAAGCGATTTTTTTTCGAAGAGGCCACCAACAATGAATGATTCTCATTATTCTCCATTGAGTGAAGAGACATTAATGTTACTGAAAATATATTAAGTTGGCAAATATTCAAATATAAATACAATCGATGAATCAGAATCAGAATATCTATTTATACGGGATGAATCCCATGTGCTGTAAAGCTCTTTTTCACAGATGTCCAGTAGAGGATGGTCAGAACGTGACATGAAGACGTGGCCATAAAAAATATGAAGTTATTGCTAATGATACACGCAACAATTGTGATTCCTTCGCATACATTTTAATTTCATGTGAATTAATTCACCCGTAATTATTTTGCCATGTCAGCATTGGTGGTTCAGTGGTATAAATCTCGCCTGTCACGTGGGGGGGGGGGGGGGGGGGCCTTGGTTTAATGGCTGGCAGAAAAGCACCTAACATTGCCCCCTCTTGTTTCTGTATCAATCCTTCATATTTATCCCAAACATATATTACCGTCCCAATGAACTCACAAATGACGGGATAAGCAGCCGCGACATTTAAACTTCTCATAAAGGTACCCCGACTGCGCTAATTTGCCACACTTGAGAGGTTTAGTTGGCGCGTGCCACACAACGTACGGGAACGGCGTCCGTTCGCCGGA